TGGGTGCAACCTTATCCTTTCTAACACAGATAACTGCATTTGGTGCATAGTGTCTTGAGGTGAAGGGAGAACTTTGTGCCTTGATGTGCTTGTGACATAGAGCAGGCTCTGTACTTCAGGCATTATTAGTATTTAGGTTTCTCAGAATAATAGGTAAGTCTTTGTTTTTGCTGAGGTTTTTTTTCCCCTTTTTTCTTCCTTTGCCCACAGCTGTACTGGCAGAGATTGCTTTTTCCTTACCTGCTTCCTATTATGCTTTTGTTGAAGATTAGGGCTTTGTATCAGAGTTTTTCCTAAATCTGATTAGACAAAATTGGTCACTGTAATGTAAACTAAATGGGCAGGGTGAGCTACTCGAGGGAACTTCACCTGAAACAGATATATCTGAAAGTACTGTCAGAATTGTCAGGGATTTGCAATGAGAGGGGAAGGGAACAGAACATCTTGATCTGAAAGAATGTCTCTGGATAAAATAGCAGTATTACTTTCTGGAAGCCCATACGAGAGGAAAGAAGTTTTCTGAGTTTCTTCTAATACTCTTATTTTTGTGGTCATGGCAGATTTATGACATTCTTGTGTTTCCTGTGCTTGGTTTGTCTGTTTTTTGTTTCCCCATTCCCCCCCCCCTTTCCCGCCCACCACCACCACAGTGAAGCTTGTATGGAATTGGTGAAAAAATTTAAATTTCTCATGCTTCATGCCTGTTAAATGCAGGTTTCTTGTGATTGAAATAAGCAAGTTAAAATAATATTTACTTATTCAAAGTCATTCTTCTAAACGTACTGCCTGAAACAAGGGAAACTATTTTGTCTTGTTGATCTGCACTTGTTAAACTGTCTATTGAACTTCATTTTTTCCGCGTTCTGTCTGCCTTGTTAATATATTAAAAACAGTAAAAGTTTACCAGGTGCTAATTAATAGCAGTAGGGTACTCTGCATTTTTATTCATGTATTTATTCTTACAAGTAGAACAAGTCTTCAGGGCTATTGGCCAAGGAGTATCATAGAGAAGGAGGCCTCAAGAAAGACTTTTGAGCATCCCTATGAAATAGTTTGCTTGGGAACATGTTTGAGACTATAAGAAGCAGCTGTTTGTCTGAGCTGGGTCTAAGACAATATTGCCAGGTGTTGGGAGAAAGGGAGTTTTATTCTGTAGTGCAAGCATTAGTATTACTTATCAGCATGTCCAGTCAGAGAGGATATTCTGGTGGCCTAAAGCCTATGTGATATGCCAGCCTACCTAATTCCTACATTGTACCTATAGCTGTTTCAGGTACTTGTGCTCTTTTCATCTATCGATGTTCTCTATAGTATGCTTTAGCCAGGTGCAGTGCTTTTTTCTGGCTCTAAAAATAGATTTAAGGCCTGACTTCATTGATCAGAGCTCTTCTTCCTTCCATCTGTGGAGTGCAGGTACTCCTTCTGTCACACAACACTGATGTTGCTTTATTTCTAGTTTTGGTTCCTTTCTATCTTAAAAAAACCCAAACAAACAAATAAAATGCCACTTCATTTTATTTGAGGTTTTGTTTTTTAGAGGTTTTGGGTTTTTTTGTCCTGTAGTGCTGAATTGCATATTTTGCATCTTTGTTTTTTTCTACTGGAATGCTGAAGCAAGAATAGTTTTCACAGAAGAATCATATTTGTACTGGAAAGATGAGAAACATAAACTCGTGACTAGTGAGAGAGGCACTGTTTTGTACGTTTAAGTCTACAAGCAGTTAGATCATGGTGCTGTAGTTTGGTATGTTGTAATTTTGGAAGTAAAGAAAGCTGAAATGTTTTGACTCTTGTGGAATTGGACAGTTTGTAGGTCTATGTCCTTCCTAAACTTCTTGGTCACTCTGCTTCCTGAATTACTTCTTTATAAATAACTCATATCTAGATTTTTGAACTTGCAACCAACTTTTGCTGGGCTTACCATGTTCAGTTTTGTAGATATTTTGAAAACATATAACGTTAAAGCTAATGATAGCTTTTTTTTGAGGTTTTACTTATGTTTAATTTGTTATGCCTAGGAGCTGCTCTCATAGAAAAAGAGAGAGGAGATATGGAAACAATGAGAGAAAACAGAACACCTCAAACATAAAATACTTCCTCGCAACTGTTACCGTGAAGTCTAAATTGCATTTCATTTCAATGCTACTGTTGTACTTATGCAAAGTGTTGTTTAAATTAGAGAAAAGATACCTAGTTTCTAAAGATTACTGCAAATTACTTTTTCACCTGATCTTTCATCAATTTAAGAACAAAATTGTAAAAATCATAGGCTCATCTGGCTAGCTAGTACTTGTAAATTAATTTGTTAATCTTAATTATTGCGTTCCCCTTGTTTTGTACAATACCGTATTGCATTCTCTGCTAAATACAAAGCTTGCTCCATATTTGCCATAGAACTTCTAAAATATGTAGTTACCCAAAATAAATAAAAAAGGCTTAATTTTTCTTGTGATGACTGATCTCAGATTTTTTTTCCTTCCTCTCTCTTCTCTTTCATCTGAAAATAGCTCTGGAAGTTTATTTTTTTAACTTTCTGACAAGTATACAGTCAGAGAAGAAAGTATGGTAGGCATGGGTCCTAGCATTTTGGTTAGAAAAAAAAATCACACGTTTTGGTGGTAAGATAGCGCAAAGTTGTACTGTTGATGTGAATGGTTGCATGTCTCTGCTTAGCAATTAAGAATAAAGTAACCTTGATTGAGGTTTCTGGTCAGCGATATCTACTTGGACCTGCGACCTGCTTTGAAAAGATGTTCATATAGGTTTGTTGTCATCTTTGTGCTGCCTCTAGTATTTGTTCTCTCATTTCAGTAGTTCAGGGACAAAATCAGGCAGAACTAAACAGATGATCTAGTGGAGAGAAGTCCAAATTTCCCACTGGCCTAGTAATATGTATCAGCTCAGCAAGGAGTTGAACAAGTAGTGGAGTTGGTGTCGGGGAAGCAGTGGGAGTTACGGAGCTGTAGAAGGGGAGGGTTGTAGTCTTTATCTTTGGTGACTGAGCCTGGACTCTGTCTTGTCCAACTGCATTGTGGGTTGGGAAAATGAATGGTGGCATGGCAAAGAAACTGAAATGGTGGTGGTGAGGGTGTGTGTGGATTTTTTATTTTGAAAAATAATTATTGCTAATAGTTTTATTTTGTAATAGCTCAACAGGAGGACTTAGTTTTGGAACTCTGGGCTCTTCCACTGCTACAGCAACTACATCAACCCCTTCAGTGGGCTTTGGGAGTGGACTTTTTGGATCAAAATCAACCACTGGCTTTACACTAGGAGGCACCAGTACAGGTAGAAAAAATTCTTGTACAGCAGAAATTTGAATCAATGGTGAAGAAATATATCATCTCTATGCAAAAACTGGGTTGTCGTAACATGCTTGCTTTTTTTTTTATAGTTCTTCTGTAACTCGGAATATTATGTAGTGTTGTAAAAAGGCTTAATTGAGCAGTTTAAAAGGTCATTTATTGAGAACTATGGAGTACCAATACTGCAAAAGCACAAATGCAGTTGCCAGAAAACTCTGCCTGGGCCTGTGTGTAAAATGTTCTATAATCTGAATCCTGATACTTTCTAGAAATCTATCTCTTCATCCAGGATGCTCAAAATTATGATTTAAGATGGAGGTATATTTTGATCTGAAAAATATTTTAAAGCTTTGTTAGTATTCTTAATGTGACATTTGTAATCCTGCAATAGTAAACATTTCTGGTTTTGTTGGTATTTTTTTTAAATGTTAGCAATATGCATGAAGAAATTATTATTTCATTAGGTATCTAATTCAGCTTATGAACATACAGATTCTTATAGGAGTAGTCGAGTGTAGAAGACTAAGACTTTTCTTAACTTGAAGTATTTTTTTCACCCATCATGCAGGCATAACTTAATGAATTATACTTTGACTCCCAATATCGTTAGACAAAATGGTCTTTTTTTTTTTTTTCTTGTACAGTCGTATGAGTAGATAGGAGAAGTTCCGTATTACTGTGTTTGGCTACAGTGAGGTAATTTTGTTTTAGCTCTCAATGATTCTTTTGATCTTCTAATCAGGGTTTGATTTTTAAATATGAAATGGCATAGCACTGTTCAAAATAATCTCTTTAAATTACCAGTGGGGCAGGAACTCTAAACCAAGACCCAGGATTTAACAGAGACTTTGGACTCTATAATCTTCTTATTATACTGTAAATCTGCTGCTTTACATGCTAATGTTAACGTACTTCCATATGGCTGAAAAAACCCTTCATAGTTTCCATATTTTGTTTACCACCTTTTGTTTGAAATTTCAAACAGTTTGCTATACTGCTGTCTTAACATTAGCTTCACTGTTAGCAGATTCTTATAATGAAAAATTTTTTTTTGAAGTCAGTTAGGCTTTGATTTGTGCTGCTGCTGCTTTCAAATACTGTTTTCTATGTTAATGTTTTTCTTTCAACATACTATGGAAAAAACTTGTATAATAATCTACATATTGTCTCATAATGTTGCATTATTTCAGTGTTTTGTTTCATGTTTTTTATTATCATAACTGCTCTGTTGTCTTCGATTACTATTTTTATCCTGTTTTTTTGTTTTTATTCTTAAAGCGGGAACAGCAACAACTATTGCTACAGGACTGACACTAGGTATGGACCTCATTTGGATTTTAATGTTATACAGGTGGAAAAAATAGATAGGATTTCCTTGTGATGTAGAAAGTTAGTGGTCTTGTGGTTGGTTTTTCATTACTCATTACTAATTGCTGTCTGCTTTGCAGCCCAAATGTAAGGCTGTAAACCGGAGTGGGGCCCTGCAGTTCTGGGCACTGTTACCTGTTGAAGGATAATTCCATTCCTGTACAACAGTGACAGTGGTCGTAGCGAAAAGTTAGACTTTTTATTTTCCCTTCAGCAGAGGTGAGGTGGAACTTTGGGAATATTTTACTTTTGTTTCTCTGATGCATCTTTAGTGACTATTTTTTCAGCTGTCATTAGAAATACAGGACTGTGTGGGTAGTTGTGGGGTTTGTTTTCTTTTTAAACACCAGCAACTGAGATCTGAGGAGAAACTGAGCTTGAGTATCATAAATGTTGGGGGTGGAGGTGATGCTGCAAGACAGACTTCAGTCTAAAATCTTGGGAAACCATGCTGTTTATAAATAGGAAAAAAATGCGTTGGATAAAGAAGCAATAGAAATGGGAAGAAGGGAGGAGCAGCAGCTAACCCAGAACAGACTCTGTGATGCATAATCATACACAGCAGTCAGTACTATGCAGATGTACATTAATTCTTTTCAATAGCTGAATGAAATGATGTCATCCAAAACAGACACACAGCAGTTACTGAGAATACCAAGTATGTGCTGCTTGTGCTTGCTGTTGTGGTTTGTGTGTGCATATGCACACTCCTTTATTTTGGAATATGGATTCTATAATAGAAAATGCATTCTTACTATGAAGACAGCAGGAAGTGGAAACTTCATTTGCTTTACTTTAAAAGTGTTCAAAAACAAAGTTTGAGGGAATAACGTTTTAACATATTGTTTACAAATTGAAAGAATACATGCATTCATTTTGGTATGCAAATACAATTGAGAATTTTTAGTCTGTATTTTGCACGGTGTTGTTTATAGCTCTATCTACAGCTGTTGTAGATTACTGCTAGATATAATCATCAGTCCATGATTAAAGCTGATGGGATCACTAGGAATTCTGAAGCAAAAACGCCTGTGCAGTTAATGTAAACCCTTGAAATTTATCTGAAGGTACTATGGGGGATATTTTACTTGATGCAGGTACTATGGTACTTGTGATGGTTACACAGGAATAGTTCAGAAGAGAAGGTGAATTGAGCGTTCATTCTCAAACAGAATGTTTTTAGAGTGATAATCGTTTTGGATTTTCTTTTTAGGCACGCCTGCCACCACATCAGCAACTACCACAGGCTTTAGTTTAGGTTTCAACAAACCTGCAGGCTCGGCCACACCATTTGCATTACCTGTTACTTCTACCTCAGCGGGTGGCCTATCATTGTCATCTGCTCTTACATCAACTCCTGCAGCAGGTAGGTAATTGTTTAGGTTTTGTTGCGTTTTGTTTGGTTTTAACAATAAAACTTTATGGTAAAACAGCGCTGTGCTCTATACTTTACTAGTATTTACATAATTTTGTGATGCTTTAATAAGAAGGTTCATTGCACTTCACTAGTTCTAAATTTGGGTACCCTAGTACAGATAGTTTTATGTTTAGAGGGCAGTATGCAATGTGATGAAGGCAGCATATAATGTAAATCATTAAAAGTGTAGCAAGAGCTGATTTATCATTTAAAATGATTATTTTTGTTACTGATAACCCTACTGAAATTTGAAAGCTTCCATCTTGTGCAGGTGAAAAGTTTGGGAAATGTCTACCTTTTGCAGATGGCCTGAAATGGTTAACTGGTAGTAGAAACAAGATTTTTCCAGTGTAGTTCTCATACTGGTACACACCTGCCATCATATTTAACTTGGCTAAACTGCAATGTGCATGGTGATAATTAAGACTGGAGTTCATTTTTCTTAATCTTAAGAGCCTGTGTTTGAGTTCGTCTGTGCCCTCTGCACTCCGTCCCTTTATGCTTATGGTCTTTCTCAACTGAAGTCTTCCTATCCTACCAAAAGCCTGGGGTGCTTAATTCCAGAAGGTGGCTCAAACTACCAGTGAAATGTTCTTGTATCATCTTTGTCTTGTGTAAAATATTTTAATGTTTCACATAAAACATTAACTCTTCAGCATTTTCATATAGAAAGTGAATAGCACTTGTTAGTTCCATTATGCCATAGAATAAATTCTGTGCCACGTTCTAGATTCTCACGTGTTCTGGGGAACTCTCAAATAATGTTATATGGTTGCAGGTAAATACAGACTAATCAAGATTATGATATTGTAGAACAAAATCAAGTATAATTCAAAAGTCTCTGTGGCTTTGGAAAATCTGCAAGAAATTAAAACAATGATCAAGTTTATTACGAAATTATGATAAAGAGGCTGTTCAGACCTTTTAGTTATTTCAGATTGCCTGTGGATGTGTTTGAATGCACTGTCTGCATGAAGCTGGTTTGCCTTCTCTGCAGGAACTACTGGCTTTATGTTAAATTTGGGTGGTACAACTGCTCCAACTACAACTGCCTCCACAGGCCTTTCCTTAGGTGGAGCCTTAGCAGGTTTAGGAGGTTCACTCTTCCAGAATACAAGCACAGCAGCAACAGGTGAAAGCTATTTTAGTTTTTTCCTCCTTGTGTCTCAAAATGTTGAAATTTAATGTGTGATTGTATAAACTCAAAATGTAAGATTTAGTTTATATGAAGTGTTAACACTGTGAAAGTGTGATTTTTAAGTCTTACAGTTAAGAACTGTTGATGTCCATGAACAATAAAAATGAAAACTGAAATAATAGTCTTCTTTCTTATTCTCAAATTCACTTGTACTTAAGACTGTTTTTTTAAATTAAAACAAGAGGTAAGCTTTGTCATTGCCATAATTGACTCAAGCAAATTGATCATAAATGGGAGAGGTCAATGATGTACAAGTATCTCCTCTAACTGTGAAGTTGAAAGCTCCTTATTTTGGTGGCCTTTGGTCTGAATAAAATAATCAACTTAGTATTGTCATTTCACAGCTTCCTGTCTTTTTCAGCTCTAGAGGAAGAATCTGTTACACTGTCTTGGCAACAGTGCTTTTAAGCTCTAAATGAAACAGAAAGAATCTTAAGATGATGATGATAAGTTAGGTACCTAATTGGCTACCTAGTAATATGAAAAAATTACATAAAACGCTTGCGTACGCTTGCATGAAACTTCATGCAATCTGTTTTCTTCTCTGTTTATTTTGCATTTTTTTATGTAGTATAAATATGTAGTAAATGGAACCTGAAACTGCAAGCAAGGTTATATGTGCTTTTAGTTTAAAATAAGCTTTAATTATTGGCATCTTAAGTGCAGAAATTCTGTTTGGGTTTCTTGTAGGACTTGGGCAGAATGCTTTGAGTTTGACTCTGGGGACAACTGCAGCTCCTTCAACTACTGCCAATGAAGGTCTTGGTGGCATTGATTTTAGTAGTTCTTCAGACAAAAAGAGTAAGTTTATTTTAAAACATTGCTTTTTTCTTTTAATTGAGAAAATTATCAGAGCGCTACAGCAAAGACTACTTCATGTTGTTAGGAGTGTGGAATTAAAGCTAATTTAACTCTCCCTCCCAAAGTATTTAGGTTAAAGACATGCTTAGATGTTGTGCTTGTATAGAAGAACAATATTTAGGTTGCAAATGCAATGTAATGTAAATTTATTTATTTAAAATATGTGTAAGCCAATATAATATTTGTGAAGCAGGGACTAAACCCTTTAGCCTTTTGGGAGTGAAGACTCTCAGGGCCATTTGCTGAAAAGCCATGGTAGATTTCTCAGCAGCTATATGTCAAATAGCCACTAGAGGGGGGAGCAGAGCTATATTTAAGTAATGCATTGCAAATATAAAGTACTTGTTTGAAACCAGCTTTCTCTAACAGATCTTTAACTTGGTTTCTTTTATTGAAATCCTGCACCAAAAAATGTTCTACTTTTAGCTGTTATTCTTCAAAGCTGTATTTCTGGTGGTGTGTAGTAATATCTGAAACCAGTTATAAAAACTTTACCTCTGTGGTAGCTTTATAGACCTTAAGTGAGGGAATATTGAGCATTGGCATATGGACACTTATGAATTTGTCTTGCTTTTATACTTTCAGAGTAAGCTTAACTAAAGCTGATTCTAAAACATGTGTTTTCTCTGGGGAATTAGTACTGTTAAATTTAATCTCTTTATTCCATTCAGGAGCCAGATTTTAGATTAGGTATACTAGTAACTAGAAGAGAAGGAGATATACAAACTCCATGAAACCATCTTTACAGAATAACATATGTTGTGAAGACAGTTTTTCGTACTTGCAGAACAGGTGACCTATTGACTGTCCAAACTGGAGTGCTCTGCATGGTGTTGATTTTTTGGGAAGATTATTACTATTACTGGGAGTAATGAGAAAGCTCCGATTCCTAGGTTCGTATGGGATTTTCATTACTGCAACGTTAGCATGTCACAACACTTCTATAGTATACAAGTATCTTAAAAGGAGGACCAGAGACTCAAAGTCTTCCGTCTTTTTTTGCCCTGTGATGCTCGATACTGTTTTCGGCTTCATTCTGTAACTCGGAGGCATTTGGCATCTTGATCCACAGATGCATAGCTTGGAGTGTGTAGGTCGTATGTAAGCAGTAACATCTGCATGTAAAACCTCATTCATTAATGAACTTAATGAAATAGCAGAATTCTCAGGGAAGTCCAGTGGGCAAACCTTCATTATCTTTGTATTTGAGAGAAGACTTCTATTGCTAATATAAACGCTTGAGTGTTTTGTGGGTGCAGGTCTAAGTGAGCTATGGTTGCATGAGCAGGAACAGATTTCTTATGCAACTGCAGTTGTTTATGCATTTCTAGTGACTTGTATATTGACAGAAGATGTTTTGTATTACTTTGTGTTCCAAGAAATTAGCACCTCAACTGTTGAACCATTGTTCTTGAAAAGATATTTATCTGTGAATGAGGAGTAAATTAAAACCTTTCTTTTATGGCTAGCCTAGCTTGTTCCTCTTATCAAGAGAAATCAAGGAGATTTATGTCATTATTTCTTCCTTAAACTCTCATGAAGATTGTTTGGTTAGTATTTCAGAGTTTTATTTCTGACTCCAGTTTTTATTTTCTAGGTGACAAAACAGGAACAAGACCAGAGTAAGTGTTCAGATTTTCTTTGCATTCTGTGTCTTACTTAGTTCAGCTGTTTACTAGTATGTTGGCTTTTCTACTACTTTGATCTTGAAAAAGGCGTAAAAGTCAATAATCAACTTTTGCAGTATGGATGATTTAGTAATGATGGTTCATTGTTTGGAACATTGCAATTTTTCTATCAAATGCAATATGTACAGCTTATCTGGCATTTGCTATAGACTGATCATGTGTTCTGAAAAATGTTTTCTGCAAATGTGTACAATGCTCACAACACAAGCTTGGACCCTGGCATGATATCTGTGTGCATTCATGCAAATCATTCCTAGTTGTGGCATACATGCAATGGGTGCAAAACTTTAATCAGTCACTTGAATGTTTTCTTGATATTTAGTAGTCATGCAAAAATGTTGGGCAGTGTTAAAGCACCATCTAAATATGCATTGTCTCTTTTAGAGATAGCAAAGCACTAAAGGATGAAAATCTACCTCCAGTAATCTGTCAAGATGTAGAAAATCTACAGTAAGTAGTGTTCTTTATTTATGATAATTGAATAGCTAGAGTATTGTATGCTGTCAGTGCTCTGTGACATAAACACCCTACTGCAGGCTGCATGCAGGATAGCTTACTAGGCTAAGGCCTCTTGGCAGGTTAACCCTGGCAATAAAGTAGGTGGATAGTTCTAGTAGCTGAAGTCTTAGGCTGTTTTTCTTCAGCCTCACTTTTCCATGCACTTATGCAAGTGTACATGCCCAAAAAATATTCTCTTAGAATCTGATCCATCTTTCCCTGGGAGTATTAATCCTGTTGCATGTGCAAAGTAAGTATTGAGCTGTATGCCCATATTGTATGTTCATTGTGGATCTGGTATGCAACAGAGAAGAACCTTCCCTCAGGCAGGAAGGAGGCAGGTTGCAGGCTAATTAGAGAGTCCGTATGTCACTGTTTTTGCGAGTTCAAAGTCCTAATCACTTTTACATAGATAATAGATATTATAATATATGTGTGCGTATATAAAAAATATAAAAAACAATTGATATATATCTTAATTTGTCAGGGTTCAGCATAATATGGCTAAACATTTGCTGTTGAAGTTTAGAGGAGTTTTTGTATGTGGGTTGTTTTGGTTTTTTTTAAACTTATGCAATAATTTTACTGTTCAGTACTTGATTTTGGAAAAAATCATTTAATAGCTATTTAATTTGTGACCAAAAGGTACATGGTTTGGTACTTCAATATTTTGTTTCCTTCCTCCCCACCCTCTTACTGTTTCCTTTCCCAGGAAATTTGTGAAAGAACAAAAGCAAGTTCAGGAAGAAATTAGTAGAATGTCCTCTAAAGCAATGCTTAAAGTACAAGAAGACATTAAAGCTTTAAAACAACTTCTGTCTGTAGTTGCCAGTGGATTACAGAGGAACACTCTTAATATTGACAAGCTGAAAGTGGAAACTGCACAGGTATAATTGAATATATGTTTTGTTATGTAGAGTTTTTTGTTGGTTATTTCATATAGGATAACTAGCCGCCTTTATCAGTCAAGTTGACACGAGTCCAAACTAAAAGAGTTGTAAACAAAATGAAAAATTGAATCCCCTCGAATATATTTGAAGTTTCTGGAGGAGACTGAAATCTCTGATGTCAGTACTTTTCAGATAAGTACAACAGCAATAAAATGACTTTTATTCAGGAAAGCACTCCTCCATAGCAAAGGCAACAGAAGGGAACGTGAGCTGACTTAGTTCAGTTTCAGTTATATATTCAGCTGCTAGTGAAGGCACATTTGTAACAACATGCTGCACTCAAGGAACAGCAGAAATGCAAGTGTATTTTTTTTTTTCTGCTGACGTGGAAAAAAAAAGCCACCCCATAACATTTCAGAGACCTAAAAATCTTAATGAGCACTAATAATCATTTAGTGAACTTGAGTCCACCAGTCTGCATCTTAACTGCACAACCAGTTTGAGGTCGAGTTTTGATGCAAGTGCTTCCCAAGTTAAGTTCTGTACCACTTTTTCTTTCATCTGGCATGTCAAGGCAGCATGCGATATATAAGTGTACTTTATTGTAAAGTAAACATGTTGATGTTTTTTCTATATCTTATGAAACCAAAAAGAAATACTCTATAGCTGTGCCTTGCCAACAGTTTTCTGTGAAAACAAAAACTTGTTACTGATATTCTCATATTTCTGTAAATGATGCAGTTGAGAATAATGGCAGAACCAGCTACTGAGGAATACTTTATGGTAGAGTTATTGGAAAGTATTAATCGGAAGTGTATGCTGTAATTGTCATGTGTAACAAGACCATTTCCATAAAAAGATGCGTTGTTTTGAACTAAGTAATCTTTTTTTAAAAAGAAAAATAATCCTTCTTGTTGTATTTCTTTTTCAGGTGTGTTACTTCCTTGCGCTTGACTGTTGCTTTTTTTTAACCCCCCAGTCCTCAGTAATTGCAACAGAATTTCTGAAGTACAACAGAAATTAGATGTTATCTCTGACAGTTTAGCATAGTGTTTTCTCAACTTCTGAGAGCTCAGTGTGCTTTCACTGTGTGCTGCTGTTTGTTTCTTCCCCAAACTTCTGTTGGTATTTGCAGTTCTCCAACTTTCTGGCAGTCTGCTCTTTGAAGGATTTCTGGTTGGAGTCTATCATGGTGTTAACTTAAATATATAAAGAGAATATCTTGTATGAATGAACAATAGAGTTGTTGAACACTTCATACGGAACCTTATATTTTATTAATTTTCTCTATTTGTTTAGGAGCTAAAGAATGCAGAAATAGCATTACGAACACAGAAAACTCCTCCTGGTCTCCAGCATGAAAACACAGCCCCAGCAGAGTGAGTTATTGTTATTCATTTAAAAATAGTCAATAATAGAACTTGGAGAAGACTCAGGGAGACTTTATTGCAGCCTTTTGATACTTAAAGGAGACTTTTATAGGAAAGATGGGGACAGACTTTTTAGTAGGGCTTGTAGTAATAGGACAAGAGATAATAGTTTTAAACTGAAAGAGAGTAGATTCAGTCTAGATATGAGGAAGAAATTTTTTACTATGAGGGTGGTGAGTCACTGGAACAAGTTGCCCAGAGAGAAGGTAGATGCCCCATCCCTGGGAACATTAAAGATCATGTTGGATGGGGCTCTGAGCAATATGATCTAGCTGAAGATGTCCCTGCTTATTGCTGGGGAGGTTGGACTAGGTGACCTTTAAAGGTCCCTTCAACCCAGAACGTTTTAGGATTCTATGAATGTCTTAATATGCTTTTTTTCCTGCTGCTTGTAACATTTGTACTGAATGCTTCATAAGATCACTGTTTTATTTCTGCATTTAATTTATTTTTATCTCAGACATGAGAAATACAGTCTTTACTCTTTTTCCACTAAGTGGCGGGATGTCAAGAATATCATAGAACATAACTGTTGCAATGAATGAAATAAAAATTGGCAGCTAATGTAGATGAGATTTTAAACAATAGTGACAAACTCATGAAGTTTAATCGTACAATTTCATTGTTTCCCTCATGTAGCTACTTCAGAATCTTGGTTGAGCAGTTTGAAGTACAGCTGCAGCAATACAGACAACAAATAGAAGAACTGGAAAATCATCTCGCTACTCAAGCAAATAATTCACACATAACTCCACAAGGTAAATGTCTCAATTTTAATGTTTCATACATGAAATTTAAGAAGTCTTATACCTATAAGAAAAACTTAGTAGGTAATCTTCTCTTTTGTTATTGTTGGCTTTTCTTATTTAGTGTACAGAAATAAGTGTTCAGATTCTGCAGTTGTTCAATGTAAAGATTTGGAATTAAAGGTTAAATTCATAAAGGTTCTTGACCTTTTTAAGATGGATCCAGTTCCTGAGGTGCAATTGGTAAGCCTTGCTTGTTTTGCATAGAAATTTTGATACCTAGGTATGAAGGAGTAGAAATGACAATTTCTGAGCTTCTGAGAAACAGGAAATAAAGTAGCATGGTATGTTTTACCCTCTTGTTTCGTCTGACTTGCTCAAGTTCTTCTACAAGAACAGTGCCTCTTCTCTAGATGTAGCTAGGGCCACTCGCACAGGAGCTGGAAATAGAAGTTTGGGACTCTTGGGCCAGGGCACATCTGTCACGTTTCTTTGCAAACGCCTGGGCTCCAGTTTTGTGCTACCTTTTCTGACAGTGTCTGTTCAATCTATCTCCAGGTGGGGTCTTGCAAGAGCAGAGTAGAGGGGGAGATTCACCTCCTTCCACCTGCTGGCCATGCTTCTTTTGATGCAGCCCGGGATACAGATGGCTTTCTGGGCTGCAAGTGCAGATTGCTGGCCTGTGTTGAGCTTTTCATCGACCAGCATCCCCAAGTCCTCCTCAGGGCTGATCTCAATCTGTTCTACACCCAGCCTGTATTTGTGCTTGAGATTGCCCTGACCCAGGTGTGACACCTTGCACTTGACCTTGTTGAACTTCATGTGGTTTGCATGGGCCCACCTCTCAAATCTGTCAAGGTTCCTTTGGATTTTACTTATTTACAATTCTTAGTGAGCTCATAAATGTCAGAAAAAACTCCCTACTCCTCAGTTTTTCATTTACTCAGCTCAGTATTGCTTGGTCTATTGATGCTGATCTGTTTCCAGACCATTTTTTTTTTTGGCCTTTGTTTCTGTTTGTTGTTCTTGTGGTTAACAAAAGTGAGAGCATCTGTTTTTCTTTCACTTTGATTTCTGTATTCCTTCCTCTATCCCCTTCCACTAATAGGAATTTTCTGTCCACCAGCTATTTTAAGATGAGACCCTTATACACAGAGGTGCTTATTTATGGAAGATACTGAAATGTCTTCACTAGTGTAGAAGAGGGATTATTTTTCCCCTGTAAACTCTGAGAAATTATGCAGTTTGCAATGTAAAGTTCCTTTCAGAATACTGTTCCTTTGTCAAAAAGGAGACATGGGGACGAAGATGGTTTTTCTGGGAAAGGTGTTCTGTAATCTTTTTTCTATAAATCTCTGAGCTGGATGGATGGTCCTGCCATAACATGAAAGTGAGAGCACTTACATGTACTATATCCATCTCCCTTCAGCATCTAGCTCTTAAAAGACTGACATCTGGCACCTTCTGTCTTCCACTGGACTGTCTGACCAGACATATGGGTATCTGCTCTGCCATGTCCAGATTAAAATGAGAACTCTTCCTTGACTTGTAGCCCATTGGTATTGCCTTCAGTTCTGACCAGCTGAGAAAATTGTTTTCTGCCACATCATTCAGTCTTGGGAGAATCATTCAATTCTGAGCCTACTGAACTCTGGACAGTAGTCTTCTGGTTGGTTATCATTCCTGTGATCATAGACATTTGGGAGGGGTGAGGGAAAGGGGCATTTTAGGTAGAGGTCCTGCAATAAGCAGGGATTTCAAGTGCATGTCTTTGTGTCAAATGATACTTGAACGTCTTGCCATCCCAGGATGGTACCTACACTCTGGACCTGATATGTCACAAACAAGAGAACTGTCTAGACCTTGCTTCCAGAATGGGAGATCTGCTGAATCCTGAGGGTCCTCTATCTTTCCACGGGATCTCCTTATCTGTCCAGAGTACAAGAGGAATGTCTTCAGAGATTTTAGTCAAGTTTTTCAGCAGTTTGTGCTATAATCTAAAGGTTGCTTGCTTGTGTGGGCAAGGCTCAATCTGTTGTGCTAGCATGCTCAGACTGTCAGCGAATGATCTAGTGATCTAGTCAACACTATAATTGCAATTGTAGCCTTTATGATACAGGAAACTATGACCCAGAATGTCTTGAGAATTTTGAAATTTCTAATATTTGGTATCAATAAATTGCCTCCAGACTCTTTGGAAACTTGTGGCCAGTCTTCCTACATACCACTGCCTCCGCAACCCTGCAGGCTGGCATGAAACTTACTCCTGAGCTTTTCTTTTTCAGAAATAAATGCAAATTATAATGGAGAAATTCCCGTATGGAGAGGCAGACCTTTTCAGTTCAAGAATCATTACTACAACTATGCGTCTTCAAGAACTTGATAGCTCCTGTTTACATTTCAGTACTTTATATGCATTCTTCAGAGGAAATGCAGAAGCTGATCTTTTCACAGTGAAAGACCATTTCAGCACTTTTCTGTCCTCCATTTTTGGTGCATTGTTTCAGTGCTTGTTTCAGAAAATAATTTGTCAGCAGATGCCTCATTTTGACAAAACCTTTGAAATTTCCCCTTTAGGATTAAAGTTTAACATTAGCTGGGTCAGTGCACTGAAAACACTTTGATATCTGTGTGGGAAGTAGGATATCCTAAATCTAAGACTTTGTTGGCAAGAAGCTCTCCACTGTGTTTCTCTGTTTGATATCCTTATGGGTAGAGCTAGAATAAGAGTTCCTGTGATGCTTGTTAATCATGTCTTTAAAATGTAATAAAGCTTTCATTCTCCTGCCCTCTCTTGAGCAAAATCAGCTGAATGCTTAACTGTGCTTCAAAGTCAAAAAGAGTTGAAAATATATACAAACACAAGAAAACTTGATTTAACTATATTTATGTAAAAACCAATGAGGTTCAAGTGTTCCTGTGTAATTATATAAAGTTAGACTAAATATTTTTTTAGCTTTGCTAAGAAATAGAATAATAGGAAATTAATTACTATATACGTAAGACTAAATCTGAGAAAAGAGTATTTTTCAAAATAAACTTTGAAGCCCTTTCGAAAAATAGTCCTTGGGTGACTTTTGTCACCTAATTGCTCTTAAATTGTGTATTTCTTACAGGCATTAACTTGTTCTCATGCAATTGTTGTGCTTAGTGCTGTATGGGTTTTGGGTGGGCTTCTTCCTGTGGTTATAAACACTAAAACTCTTCTCCTGGTAGTAAAATTGTCACTTATCAATATTTTATATGCCTCTTACAGATTTGTCTATGGCTATGCAGAAAATCTATCAAACGTTTGTAGCTCTAGCTGCACAACTTCAATCAATACATGAAAATGTGAAGGTATGTTGTTTTGATGTGTTCCTGTGTATTTAGTGAAAGAACTACAAAGACTCACTGTTTGAAAATACAATATTATCTTCAGGTATTCTTTTTTCCTTCTGTTAAATTAACTGCTCTTAAAATTTTTCACACTGTCCTGGAGTAGTGCTTTGATTAAAAAAGTAACTTGTGTTCAGCTGAAGTCTAATTTGAAATACTTGCAGTGGTGATAGTAACTGACTGCAATAATTTAGATTACAAAATGTTTTTCACGTAATTCTTCTTTCCTTTCTGATTGTTGATCAATTTTTTAAATGTCTGTCTTTAAGCTCATGCTTGTATGTCTTGCGTTTTGCCCAATGACCTCTTGATCTCAAGCAAACTGATCTAAATCTACTCTTACTCAAATAGGTGACAGGAAAAAAGTACGTGTTCATATGTAAGAATTTTCAGCATCTCAGAATTGTGGTGAGAATTGTATTCTGACCTGCTTAATTATTTTCAACCCGATTTTCATGGAAAGTCATATGTATAGCAAAAAATAGGCTACTGTAAAAAAAAGACTAATGTCCCAAAGATCCTAGCTAGGCATGTTTTTTCCAATCATGGACTCCAGCCTAAATTTCCCACTAACAGGTCTGGACATATTGACAAAATGTGAGCATTCTCCAATCTACATCTTTTCTTGAGATCAAAACCCTTCTTGGTTACAAAAAAATCCCAGAACAAACCAGTCTTGTAGAAGAGTGTTTGTTTCTAAGTGACTTCCTTAATGGGAATAGCTCTGGTAAATCAGCTTGTTTCCATCTCAAAGCTACCCGTGCACAGTGTTGCTGGTTCTCTAAACATCTGAAACTTTTTTACTTTTCATGAATAAAGTTCAGGAGTACTGAGGATCTTGTATGACCTAGGTTCCTGGCATTGCATGGCTTCTGTCAGCCTGGATATTCACTGGTTTACAGCTACTTGCCATCCGATATTTGTGCTGCTCTTAGTTAACTTTGTTTTGGTACCAGATATAGAATATATCAGCTCCTCCATAATTTCAGCAGAATTACATAAAAAGGTACCAAAATATGTCCTGGGCTCTTCACTTTTGAGATCTGAGTGTAGCCTGAACTCATGCAGTGGTCTTTGTGATGATACATTTTTGTTGTTCTTCAATATGAAGAACTGGATTGGTATGCAAGTATAAGCAATAGTTTCTTCAGTGCCTTGTTAGTGTGACTAAATAGGAAAGACTTCAGCTTAAGAATTCTTCTATTGCCTGAAACTAAGAGTTTGAGGATTTTTCTTTCTTTTGGGGAATTTTTTTGAGATTTAATCTACCAGGTGGACATGAAAGCTGATATTTTGAAAGACACAAATATAACTAAAGCTTAAAAAAGATCAGAAAAATTTGTGTACTGCTTAAGTGGCTCTATCATTCTGACCATCTCTTAGTTTATCAGCTAGGATAGGAGAGGAGAGCCGTTTTGAAACTCCTGTCTCTGCCTTATTTGATGGTTGTGATATGGTTTGTGAAGGCAGAGCTGTAACCATAATTAATTCCTTTGAAGTAGGCTTTCTAGTTTGTCTACAACTTCAGACCTTTGAGTCAAAGTGTATGTACAATGGGAAGTGGGAAGATGACATGAGAGATTTGGACTACTTGTTAGTCTAAAGCAGAATGATTTATTGCATTTGCACTGCATTACATGGTTGATAAAATGCATCTGAAACAAGAATAGATTTTAAAATTCTAGTAGCTTCTTTAGCCTTGTGCTAAGAAAGAAATGCAAGTGTAAAATGAAGGAAAGAAAAAAGTACAAGTGATAGGGGAGCAAAAGCAGACCATGCAGAAAGGGTATCATTGATAAAGAGTGTGTTATTTTATGTTATAAGCTAGTATTGTGGCTGTATTTTGCCTCTTAGGTCAGCTAGTACAGTGATACAAATGGAGTTGTGCTGATTTACACCAATTTTTAAAGATTTTGGTACCATGTGTGTTAGTCTGTTACACTTGACTGCTTTGCAGGATTTAAGTAAGGAACCTGTTCTGGCTGTAGCTGATGCAAACCAGTTCTCTCCAGCTCATAGCCTAGCTAGAACCTTTCAGATTGTGGGAAGCTATTTTTGTTGTGATTTTGTTTGTTTTTCTTTGTTTTTTTGTTTGTTTGGGGTTGTGGTTTTGGGTTTTTGATGAAATGTTACTTATAACTCAGTGTCTCCTTATGAATTTAAGGTTTTATGTCAAATACTGAACTAAAATGGCTTCCCCTCGCCCCCTTCAGATGCTCAAAGACCAATACCTTGGCTACAGGAAAACCTTCCTGGGAGATGCCATGGATGTGTTTGAGGCAAGACGAACAGAAGCTAAGAAGTGGCAGAGCGCGCCACGTGTTACCACTGGACCGACCCCTTTCAGCAACATACCAAATGCAGCAGCCGTTGCGATGGCTGCAACACTTACTCAGCAGCAGCAGCCTGCTACAGGTCTGAGTGCATTCAAGTTATAGATTATTAGTGTTACGACAGTAGTAGATTTGTGTAACATTTTCTATGAAGTCTTCCTTTGTGTTAGACTAAAAATCTAAACATTGTGATGAGCATAGTTACTGATACATAGCCAATAGAAAAATGCAGGGTAGACTTAGCAATAATTATACAACAAATACTTAATCTTGTGAATTTACTTGTATTAGTGATATTTACTGTATTGTTCTAACTTACCCCTTGGAATGTGAGTCTTCACTCTTAAGTAACATCTCTGAATACACATAGTATAGCCTCTTTCCAGAATTGTATGGTTATAGTAAATTATTTCAATTCGGTGAGGAAAGAATATCTAAATGCATATTATCTTTTTCTTATGTAGAATGAATAATGCATTTTTATATAGCACTTTGGAACTGTAAAATGAAAAGTGCTGTAGAACAGGAAGGATAGTGGAGCGAACATCCATAGAATAGGAAGACAGATACCTGGCTTATTATTTTATAGCCAACTCCTTTGTCCAAGTGATTTTGGAGCAGTTCTTGCTTGCCATTCTGCTGTTGCAAATAATTATTTGAGAAAGTAGAGTAGATCAGTGGTTCTGTGTGTGCATGTGTGTAAGAGGAAGACCAAACATAAGAAATGCGTGACCCCACTGCTAATGAAGAATGGATGCATAGAGCAAAGGAAATAACTTAAGGCACCCTAGTCGACATACACTAACCAACACTTCTCAGAGCGGGATTCCTGAATGTAGAGAATTGAATTAATATTAAATAATTTAACAGAAATAAGATAAATTCCATTTAATTTTACTTGAACGTAGATATCACAGAATCGCTCGGTTGGAAAAGACCTCTGAGATCATCACATCCAACCGCTCCTGTCTACTCCCTAAACCATATCCCTAAGTCCCTCGTCTACCCGCTCTTTAAATACATCCAGGGATGGTGACTCCACCACCTCCCTGGGCAGCCTGTTCCAGCCTCTGACAACCCTCTCAGTAAAGAACTTCCTCCTTATCTCTAACCTGAACCTCCCTTGGCACAGCTTGGTGCCGTTTCCCCTTGTTCTATCCTCCATCACCTGGGAGAAAAGACCAGCACCCACCTCTCTACAACCTCCCTTTAGGTAGTTGTAGGTGGTGATGAGGTCTCCCCTCAGCCTTCTCTTCTCCAGGCTAAACAACCCCAGTTCCCTCAGCCGCTCCTCATAAGGCTTGTTCTCCAGACCCCTCACCATCCTTGTGGCTCTTCTCTGAACACGCTCTAGAATCTCAACATCCTTCTTATAGTGAGGGGCCCAGAACTGAACACAGGACTCGAGGTGCGACCTCACCAGTGCCGAGTACAGTATGTGTGTATATCAGCAAATTAGAAAAAGCATAGCTAACTTCATTTTACAGATCACTAAAATGTTGTTTATCACAGGTGGACTGAAAGTCATATTAGCACCTTTTCCTTCTCTGTCTTGTAACAGCAGTCATATTTTGAATTTTTTTAGTTAGAGATCTATGCAGCAGCCACCCTAAGTTTGACAGATTATTAGGCTGTCCTTGCCGTCTCCTTAAAAGGAAAATACAACATGCTTCCAGCCCTGGCCCTTATAAACAGCAAGGAGATGGGTTTAGAAGACAAATATGCCAAAACACTTTGAACACAACAAAAAAAATGAAGTATTTATGAAATATTTCCCTTCTAAGTTCCCATAATAGATCACAGTCTTCCTGTTACAGCTTTGTTAATCAGTCAAAATTCTGTTGAAGTGACATCTGCAAAAGTCTGGTTTTAAACAGAAAACACAAGATAATGTAATATTACACTTATGGAGGTTTAATACAAATTGAAATGTGACTTGTGCAGCCTAATGTTGCCAGACTAGTTCCCTCTCCCTTTATCTTTCTCTGTTTCTCATGTGGTTTTGTTGTTGTTTTTTAAATACTGTCCACAATCATTACAGGATTAGTTGTGTATGAAAGTAATATACTTGGGGTGTCACATTTAAAGTTATACTTGCATTTTCATTAATTGGAGTGAGGGATTTGAACTTCCTCTTCCTAGTCCAGATTCGAGAGAACTGCTGATACCTTCAGTAACTTGATGCCACTTATGGCATGACTTTGAATATTCTCTTAGGAGTAGGAGTGGAGAGAGGGGGCGGTGGGAAAAGCAAAGGCAGAATTGACCTGTACCAACACACCTATTATGGTAAAGTGACTTCATATCTTGAGGTATTTTGTAGTGAAAGGTATAAATGGGAGTCTTTATAGGTTGGTTTGGGGGTTGATTTTCTGTTGTGGTTTTTTTTTGTTTTGTTTTGGCAAAGTATTTCAGAAGCCAAAAAGTGCCCACTATGAGAGCAATGCAGTCAGAACAGAGCCATTAACTTATGTCAGACATGCCAAGAAAGGTAGATGATAATTAATTTACTACTTATTCAGTTGCAATATTGTTATCCTCTGTGCCACTCACTTGAGGACCTGGAGAAATAGAGGTAGATTGGTATTTTGAGTGCCACTTCAAGAATCCTTGAAACTCTTAGAAATCAGGGTTAGATGGAACTTGAAGTCATCTTTTCTGTTCCTCTGGCTCAAAAGCAAAATTAGTGAAGCCTTAACTATTCCAGAGAGACCTTAAAGTCTTAAAAGCTTGCTAGAAAGGAAAACTTACTTTTTTCCCAGCAACTTAACTGAGAACTTCTTAGCTTCAGATTAAGGCTGCCACTTTTTGCCTTACTCTAGTGGAAAAGGAGCGGAATCTAATCTTTCAGTTTTGTAGGAATCTGTAAAGACTGCCTCCTCTACATTTACTTTTTCTTGTTGGAGTTTTCAGATGGCCATTTTCTCTAGTAAAACTGTAAATGTTTGCATGTTTTAACTTTCTTCTTATGAATTCGATAAACTGTCTACTAGAAATTAAAATAATGCATATTTCTTTGTGAGCTCTAGATCCTGAAGAGTGGAATAGATGAGGGATGGTAGAAGGTTATGAGAGAAGACCATGAAATGAGGTGTATATGAAGGGGAGAGGGGGATGTCTGTGTAATACCTGACCTGCTGTTGCTGTTCTTAAGAATAAAATAAGAAAATTAATCTGTGCTTTACAGTTTTTTACTAAAATCTACTATACGGTACTCTAGTATTGAGGGATCAGGATGGTTAGTCTCTTTTTTTAAAAAAATGTTTTATGTTTACATGGTTAAGTCTATTTCATAAGATTAATTTAGAGTTAGTTACTGTTCTTTCTCTGAAAAAGATAATTAATAATTTATTTTAAATTTTTGTTCAGAAGTCAAAGGTTTAATAGCTACATCTAAGCTGTGGGATCAAGGAATGTTTCCTCAGTTCCTGGGTGCAGATATGCACCCTATTTGTGTTCTCTCTGTATGCCAAGGTGTCAGGCTTCTGCTGAAATAAATAAAGCCAGTGGATCCTGGCCATATGGAAGAAAGGGAGCAAAGGTGCGCTCCACTGGTCTCCTGGAATGGTTAATCAGGAGGACTGTGGCGTGCACACTGAAGCACAATTTTTGTGCGTGTTTTTGCAGCTAGAGTTATTAAAGTGATGCTGAAGTCTTGTCTGCACACAGCCTTTCCTCCCTAGTTCAGCCCTTTTGCTCTGAGCACAGCTTCATGGGCAGCAGTGAGGCTGGTCATGCTTTTGGGCAGTAGCAGCTGGAGCTTAAACCACTGCCTCACCTGCACCTCCCCTGAGCAATCTTGAACAGCATGGAGGTTAAAATGATGCTGGCTGGTCTACCTGTTATTACTGATGGGACTAAAGTAAAAGATTTTCAAGGGAATTAAAGCCTAGCAAACTGAAAGCTGCAAATGCATGAGGCTGAAACTGATGTTTTTCTGGTAAGACTTCAGTTGTCTTAGAGAAACATTTTTCTTCAGCTCGCCTTTCCTCCTCTAAAAGTAAATACGGCATGCACCTCCAACAACTTGGTTACTCTCTCCTTAGCTGTTGAAGTGCAGACTTTATCACAGCATTATCAAGCTGTAAGCACACTTTGTTTTGACTTGACTGGGTATGAGATTGAAAGTGCTGATGGGAAAGGATACTGAAATCTTCACAGCACTTTAATATCAAATTACACAAGAAAAAATTGAACTAGATTAAAATTAGTGTATTACTTTGTCAGAATCAGATCGAAGTTGTGACACTAAATTGGGACCAGCTGTGATTTTTAAAAAAATTGCAGAATGTCACTTTAGGAAATCTGGCTGATGTGTCTGGACACTTTGTAGTGGGTCCTATTCATTAAACTGAAAAGCTCTACGGGGCAGATATATTGTTTTAAAATGTTAAAATACTTGTTATAAAGAATTTGTCTCATACGTGTAATAGCCAGAAGTGCCAATTTTTTACTAGTACTTTTGGCATTGAAGAATCTTTATTACTAGATTTTGCTATTGAAAGTTATGTTTACTTACAAGAACTATAAATAGTGGTGATGCCTTCAGAACATAAAAATGTTACAAAATCAACAAATATCATATGCTGTTGCTCAATGAAAAGCTTCTTAGTCTAAGGCATAAGATCCTGTTTTATAAAATCTGAGGTGTTTTAGAATAATGTTTTTTACTGGCTCTAAAAAGTGTGTTGCATTTGGTAAAAAGCTTGCCCTGGAGGACTGTAGTTTTTTGTTCTAAGGTCTTCCCCTAGCAGTGCCTACTACTGAGACAGAAACCTGTGCACTTGAGAAGGAACTGGATATATGTTTTTGGGTTCTTTTAGTCCATTAGATGACTAACTGGTATAGCATTTTGTGTTTCTTCTTATTGCTAACAATTTTCTTTTTTTAAAGAGCTGCTAGGTAGATGTATCAGTATTTAAACTGGATGTAAACAAGTTTAATTTGGAAATTTATGTGAAAATTTGTGATTGCAACATCTGAAAGACTTTTTTTTTTTTAGTTGAAAAAATAGCTTGGGTTTCCCAACTGTTCCCTGCTAAGCAGAGTCTGAAAGCTAACAACTTTAGTTGCCCTTAAAATTTAGTTTAACACTACTTTGAGTATGCAGATATCATTCAGCTTGGATCACATAAGAATTTTGTGTTCCTAGCAAAAATGTTACTTTTCGATATACAGTGCCTTTCACTTGATTCAAAGTTATTTTCTGTTTAAATCTTAAAATACTGAAATTATTTTAAAAGCTTGAAATATTTACATTTTAAAACTCTAGATAAATATTAGTAACAGGAAACTTTGTAGTATGAAGGAAGAAACTTTGAAAGAAAATAAGCCCAAATGTGCTGATGGTTTAGGAAAAAGACTGAAATTATCTGAGCTTTATAGTAATATTTGAATAAAGCAGGACTTTCACAGATACTGTACATAAAGTGTGTTCAAAGATGGAGAAGGCTATCTTCAGGAAAGGTGTGAATGTGGATTAAGAGTTTGGCACTGTATTTTATCTTCAGTGGTTAAACTTTTTAACTAGTGCACTGAAAACTGTTTTTGAAAAAGGCAGGAATATAAGATTGTACTGTGAAAACTGTCAAAATATATTAATTATTTATCAGAACTAATTATTTTTAAATGTGTTAGTAACGGGCTAGCAAGTTGATTTTTATTCCCCAAGGTCTAAAAGAAAAGGGGAGGGGGAACTGAGGCTGTAAATTTCATCTTGAGAGACTGAAAATGTTTTTTTTGACAGTCCTGCGTCTTAGTGTGAATATGCAGGGAAAGTACTGTCAACTTTAAGTTGTGGAACAAAATCTGACTCTGAAATTTTGAATGTATCTGATTCATTAAGGTACACAGAACTGTGCCTTTTGTAAATGTTTATTTAAACAGGTGGTTTGAGTAGTTTACCTTACTGAATGGTGTCGTGTAGCGAGCTTAACAGAACTCAGTTATCTCTTGTGTGGAAAAGAATTGAATTGTCATGTTACTGTGTAATTGACTTGCTTAAAAATGAACAATAAATTTAATAAAATAAAGTCATTGTCTTGTTTTTTATCTTAGTGTTCTCTTTAAATTTGGATGGAATACTTGTAGTTTTGAAGATTCGTATTTATCATATAAATTAAGTTTTGGTAATATAGCTTTAGTTACATTAGTGTCAGTCATGTTTTTAATTTGAAGGTTGTCCCTTATTCTGATGCCATTAATACAGGTGGCAAAATGTTGTTACCTATGAGTTCTCTCAAGGTTTTGATTAACGTTTTAAAGTGAGACTGGTTAACTTTTAAAAATACAGAATGGTGGTATTACCGTGTTACTAGCGTTGACTGGTTTCATCTTATTCCAGTCAGTGTTTTGTTTAGGTTTTTACCAGATGGATGTAGAGACAGACAGTTAAGGGAGGAATTTTGATGAGGTAAAGTTTGGGATCTTAATGGTGTTTGTTGAAAGCAATGATGTTCACATTATCAAATACTTGAATAAATAAATAAAGGACCTCTTTACTATGAAAGAGTAAGGCAAGTTTGTTCTCATTTTTTTTATACCAGGGCCACAGCCATCTCTGGGAGTTAGTTTTGGAACGCCATTCGGCTCAGGTATTGGCACTGGCTTGCAATCAAGTGGCTTAGGTTCTTCAAGCCTTGGAGGTACACTTTAACTTTTCTAATCTTTCATTGAATTATTATACCGCACATCTGAATCTCTTGCAAACCTTTTAACTCCCCTAAGAAGATGTCTTTCAGGGAAAGACCTTACAATTTGGCAGTCTGTGCTTTCCAAACTTCTTCAGGCTTGCAGAAGGAGTTGCTAAGGCTAATAAGCCATTGTAGTGAAAACCCAGGGTGAAGTAATCACACAAAAGTTCTGTTCTTAAAACTAGTGAAGTACATCAAGTACATCCTTTAATAACTACAGCTTGACTTAATTTTACATACATGAAAGTTAGGCACATGAGACATTGGATCATGCTGTAGCTAATCCATAGAAGTTGTAAGTACAACTGAAAAACTCTTAACTATAGGGACCAATTTCTGCTTGAATTAAGATAAGAATAAATGCTAAAAAAAATGCTACAAATCTGGGATCCTGCTTGCTGAAACATACTTGCTTCAGCTGTCACTCTGTCTCTCAGTGCTGAGGTGGGAAAAAAAAAATCCCTCCTCAAGCCAAAAAGACAACATTTGAAATTGCGGGTAAAATGTTTACCAAATATTAATAGTGCTGGTGGGGAATATATTCCAAGAGGACACATGACTGAAAGAGCAGGTGCTAATAAAAAAAAAGTAGACTTTTTCATTTGAATGTAATGAATTCTCAGTAGTAGAACCACAAGTAGAACCTAAGTGATTGGTAGAATCTAATCTGCATGTGAACTTCCTATCTGTGTAGGTCGGGGATTCCAGTGCAAGTCAAGAGACTCTGGTGTCCTCTGAAGCTTTTGTACAAAGAAAATGGGTACATGTGCTGATCATAAACACAGTGTGTTGGGGTTCTTCTTGTTGCGTCCTCTTCTCTCTGCAGCCCCAGTTTGCATCCCTGCATTTTGCCTCTTTATGAGCCAAATGTGTGAATCCATGTTGTTATGTAAAGTAACTAAACATCACTCAGTATTGGAAAGGTGCACTTGAACATTACGTCAGTTTTACCTTCAACGATCATCTTGAAATTATCTTTAAATCTACCAATGTCCTTTCTCATCAGATTTTAAGGTTTTTTCAGATAAAGGAAAGTCTGTACACTTAAACAGGAAAAATAACTGAGAATAGCAGGCTAAAAGGAATGTACTTCTGCATTACCAGGTTGTTCCCATAATGTATTAAATGCTTTAAACAAACAAACATAAAATTCTTCCCTCTCAGCCAAAGAGCTTGCAGACTAAAGATTGTGTTTATATATGTGTGGCAGTTTTGCCAATGTAAGTCAGAGAACGTTTTCTTTTAAAATGATGGGCAGCTGCTTCTAGTTTTGTTGTAGAGGCCTAACTTGTATTCTTTTTTGCTAGTTCTCTGCTTAGGAAGACATTTTCTTCCATTTCAACTCTTCTGTATAAATTTGCAAAATTTTGGGTTTTTTGATAAAGAAGACTATCTGATAAAAGCAAGTCTAGAAGGATAAAGGAATACGTGCAAAATCCCCTGCAGCTGTGATCTTGTAAACAAATTAGGAGAATGAACACTTAAGATTCTTTTTTTATTCTTAGAGGGTTTTTTTGTCAGGGCAATTTTTAATGTATACTCTTGAAACATCACTTTAATTAGGGGGAAACTTGATCTCTTTCAATGATAAATATTCTGTGAATTTTGGTAGTGATAAACGTGGAGGCTTTTGCATTTAAGTATATAAGGCATGTAGCATATAGATCCTATGCTACATTAAATAATTGTAGACACCTTGCCTGACCATTGGTAACTAATTTCAAACTACACAGGGCAAAGAGTGTATCACTTAAATAAACTTTACTTGCCATTATATACCCTTAAAACTTAATTGATTTCAAAATTGCAAAAGACTAGAGAACACTGCTTCAGACAGTGTGTTCAATCAGTACTAGTTTTAAAATCTAAAAATTATTTCTCTAAAGGAATTGTAAAGGCTCAGTTTGCAGTAAAATACAAGTATTTTCCCTGACGCTTGAAACTTAAGATAAGGGCATAATTTCCTCAAATACAAATACTGTTCTCTTTTTGAAAACCTCTTGAGACAGCCAAAACCAGAGAATATCTTACTCTTACTGTTCCGTTCGTCTGGCCTCTATCTCGAACTGCAAATACCAACAAATTTTTTTTTCACTTGGAGTAATCTCATATTAAGAATACAATTTGAAGTCTTGAAATATTTATATTATGAAATTATAAATGTCAATTAAAAAGTTAACGAGATGAGTTTTATTACAGCTGTATGTTTATGGCTGCCCTTTATGTGATTATTTTTCCCATTAAATACTGTGAAATTCTCTTTATATTGTGTATTTTAGCTATTTTGTGGTTTCCTAGATAAAAGCTGACCCCAGTATCCTGAGGGGAGCTAAATGTAAGCTCAAGAAGAAGTTTACTCTGTTTTAAGCAGAAAATTTTTCTTTTAGAGTTGTGGATGAAGATTGCAGCTTTCTCTAATAATAGTTTTATAACTTGTGCCTAAATTTGCTTAGTTTTGGTTGATTTGGTTACCATTTTCTTGCCAGTTTAACAACAGTTTAATAGCGCTTTCATATACTCTGATAAACTTCATAAACTTCTTCACCTGTTTTTATAGCTTTTCCTTTACTCAGTTTTGTATTTTGAAGGAAATATTTTTCTTTACTGCTTTCCTGTTTGCACCATTTTCTTAACACAATGCTGTGTTGAAAATTAAATACTCATGAGGCAATAATTCTGGGAATATTTGTTTACCAATTAATGCTTGGAATTGTGCTTGATTTTAGAATACTTGCCCAAAACCTACTTGTCTTTAATTGTTGTCTGTAATTTTTTTGTTGTATGTCTTTACTGTTATTCTACCAGGATTTGGAAGTAGTTCTGCCTTTGGAAGTAGTGTCACAGGAGCATCATCATTTGGGTTTGGAACTACAAGTAAACCATCAGGAAGTCTAAGTGCAGGTTGGTTTGTTTCTCTTGAATTTAAGTGTTTATCTTACAGCAAAAGCGTTGTAACGAAACTGCTGCACTCAGTCATAAGAAAGCTACTGTAACAACTGCACTTAGAGCTACATGTGTATATAACCATTGAAGCAATAATTTACTTGCTTAATACACATTTTCAGATAAGTTTTTAGGTTCTATTAAAGGTCTCCTAGATAGACAGTGTTAAGTGAGCATTAATGCTTTCCATTTGATAGTGTCTGTCTAATTTAGAGTGGAAGCAGGAGACTAGATGCATCAAATTGGATCAGATGCAGTTTGAGGCACAGAAATGCAGTTACTACTTGAGTGCATACGTTACACAGTTACTGAGCTGTTGCAATTAGTGTGTAAGTTTGTGACAAATATAACAGTGATTTGATTTCCTGTATTTACAAGTAGAGTTAAACTGTTTATCTGCTTATCCTTTCTATTTGAATAGTAAGTTACAGGTTTTGTATCTCTCTATATATCCATAATTCATGATGTTAACTAGTTTGAAAACATTTCTGTGGCAATTGAACTACTTGGTACTTATTTCACTTTTTTGGTTTAATTTTGTTGCTGATGAGAAAATGAAAATGTGGATGCAATTGCTCCTTAAGCTAGATGTCTGAAATCTTAGCCACTTCTACAGCTTGCATCTCTGTTTATTTTTTAAATAGGTGTTTAGTTTTGAGGCCAATAGCTTACTGTAGTCTGTCTTACTCTTTCTTCAATAACAGATTGAAGGGAGAATCATGTCTTGTGGGATTGTCTTTTGGTTGCATGATTCTTTTTTAAAAGCTTTTTTTTTAAAAAAAAAACTCGTATCAATACAAACATAGCAAGTGGCTGGTATTAGTTAATAAGTGCCCAGTACATTAGCTTGGACCAGTATCTCGTTAGTTGCCATGCTTTTCATTGTGTTTTGCTTTTCCTTGGTTAATGATGGGTCATGCTGTCAAATTGCACCTGGAAACTACATGAAGTGCAGTAAACTACAATGTAATGTAGATATAGCTTACTGAGCTGGCTGTGTAAAATTCATAAATGTGTAACACCCTAGTAAATTCTTGATAGAGCATCTCTGGTTTTGTAATATGCAGTGTCTAGGCATCAGCCTGCCTTTGCTTAGTTTTTGCTATCAGAAACAAGTAGAAAACTTGTAAGATGAAAATGTAAGCAGTATAGCTTATTTTTCATGAGCCTATATTAAATTAGCTGTTGCTAACATGTATATGAATAGTATTCAGCATGTCAAGCTGCTGAGTTATAAAGTACATAATTTAATTTTTAGTATATTTAAAAATATAATTAGGAAACTGGTCGTATGGATCAGTTGTCCACCACTAATGAGATATCAAACCAAAGTAAACAGCAAGTCTGTCTTAGCTGTGTTGGTGGTGTGCAGAGACAATCTGGGTGCCATTTCACTGCGTTTCTCAAACCAGGCTTTGTCGTGGTGCAGTGCCCACAATCTCTCTTTAACAGTGAGGGGCTTGGACCCAATAAAATGAAGATTGTTTTCAATCATCTAAAGAGTCTCAGCTGCAGAAGGTGGTAACCAGGAATATAAAAGATTAAATTTAATTCCCGTCATTTTGTGCTCATAAAATACAGTGGTCATGAACTCCTGATCTAGGCTGGGATTATGGAATAGAAACCTCCATAAAAATTTGGTAGCCCAGAAGCACATTAACTTTTACCTCTTATATCCAAAATCCTATGCTGTCCAGCTCCTGAGTCTTCTCTCAGTGCCCTCAGTGCACACAGTGATGAGACGGGGCAAGAGCCTCACACTTCCCTTGGAGACACAGGCAGACACTGTGGAAAGCTGACTCCAAATGAAATCCTAATTACTTCCTACTTTTACTCATTTGATGGCAACCGAAAAGGCTGATTTGAGTGGGATATTGCAGAGAGCACTAAGACATCCGAATTGATGGGAAAAGGAAAAAGCTCACCATTGAATTTATAGATACAAAGTTAAGGGAGAGTGTGTGTGTATACACTATTTTTGTGAAAACTGAGATGCTATATATGCTTTGTAGAGCTGAGTTGAGAATTTGTGTTGGAGACTTATTTTTATTGAAGAATATTGAAGCAGCTAGGTGGGGGTAGTTTGAACACCGTACCCTTGCCTACCGAACTCCTGACACTGTCACACACAGCTTTATTATGAATGGCATTCCT